AAAAAAAAGAATTGTGGAAATGTCAGAAATCAAACAAGAAAATGAGACTTGTGTTTTCCCAAAGACGCTATTGTGTCTATCCCCTATTGTGAATACCGTGAATTTGTTCCTTTTATTTTCTCCAGGTCAAAGGACACATGCTGGGACCACATACATTCCAGTTATATAAACTCCAGGTCTATAAACTCAGAAAGGTGCTGTGACAACACCCAAATTATAACAGTAGCAAAAACCTTTTGTCCTTCAACTTTCTTTTTCTCTGTCCATTTTCAAATTAAAATCAAAGTAAGACTATGTTATGTGTTCAAATAGTTTAGTGTCCTGCAGAGGGACTTCAGACCAGAGTTACAGACACGGGCTTTGTTCTAGACCAACACTGCCCAGAAGAAATAGAATATGAACCACATAGAGAATTTTTAATACTCTAGTTGCCACATTAAAATAAGTTTTAAAAATGTGAGATTAATTTTAATATACTTTATCCTAATACTTGTATCCAAGTCATTATCATTTTAACTAGTAGTCAATATAAAATACTGATGAGAAATTTTACATTTTTCGTATACTAAGTCTTAGAAACCCAGCCTGTATATCCAAATACATCCAAATCATTATCATTTCAACTTGTAATCAGTAGAAAATATTGATGAGAAAGCTACATTTTTTGTATACCAAGTCTTAGAACGCCAGCATTTATTTTGCTCTACAGTTTGGACCCGCCACCTTTCGGGTACTCACCACGGCCAGTGGCTCCCATGCTGGACAGTATGGCACCAGACCTCTACTAACATAGACATCCTGTGCTCTTTCTGGTCCCTTCTGGAGCCTCCGCTTGCTTGGCTGAAAAATGAGGTCTGTGACCCCAGGACTCCTCCAGCCTTAAAGATCTGTGATTTTGGTAATGCACACATGGTCCTGAGGCCACATCTTCCAAATGGTCTGGTAGAGCTCTGACCAGAGAAAGGCGAATGAAGCAGCTCAGCCCCACAGCAAATGTGGACCAGGCGTCACTCCTGTGCAGAACGCTATGCTGACCACAAGCCAGGTGTGAGGACAGAGGAGACACTGGTTCGGCCAGCCAGAACCTCAAGATGAAACAGTCGTCATGGCCACTGAGGTCTGTTCCCTGTGGTGAAAATTAAGAGATCTAAGGCAAATAAATGCTGAGAAGAGGCAGACTTAAGAATTGTCTGGTGAGTGGCCAGTGGACCCAGGGCCCTGCAGCTCCGTCCACACTGCCTCCTGCATGAAGGGGGATGGGATGCTGTCTGCTGCATCCTCGGTAGGTGACCCCGGGCTGTCCACAGACTCCTGGAGAGTGGGAACTTCACCCCCTCCCGCCATTATTGCACAGTCAAGTTGTTGACGTGTTCTGAGGCTGCCCACAAATGGCATTCACTCGCTGGCGTTAATTTTTCTCCTGGAGCATGAACAGACCTGCTTCTTCATGTGAGTTCTTCCACTCTTCAAAGGGCATTCGTTCACAGGCTCCATGGGGCCGAACACGTCCAATTCCTGCAGACTCCCCAGGCCCTCTGCCATCCGCTGTGGATACGCACAGACACTCCCGAAATGCGGGAGGGAAGATTGCCTTGACGTGGCTGGCACATGCCCACAGGTTGCACTCGATTTCATGACTGTTGGTGGATTGTTTGCAGACAACACACCTGTCCCTCGCGTGCATCTGGGGTCTACTTCCCTCCCCTTGCTTCTCTCACAACTGATGTTTTAGGGAAAAGCTCCTAGAATGCTTAGCGTGGCTTGTTTGTCACTCTTGATTTCCCACATTCATCAAGAACATTTTGTTAACGAATAGAAAACTGGCACTGTTTCAGTGGGCAGCAAGGAACACTTAACATTTAAAAACTAGAATATGGCTCATGACTTCCCTTCTGAGGAATCCCGTCACGGTTGGCCAGGGGCCGGCTGGATAACGGACAAAGCAGGACAGAAGGGGCATCTGTAAGTTTGTGCCAGTGACTCACCTCATGGGTGCTGTGTGGCGGGAAACGAGACTAGTTCAGGGAAGTGAGGTGTTCTGCCATTATGAAATAGGATGTTACGATCCACAATCAGGGTTTTTTTAATATATGAAAGATTCTTTATCCCTAGTTGTCTCACATAGATGGAGTGTGGAATTCATTGGTTCAAAACAATGTCCTTTTAGTTTTACTCTGTTCCAAAGGCACGGGTCTGACCCCTGGTCCCTGGCCAGCCCTTCATGAGTCTCAAGTGTTGGCCTAAGAGAGAGCTGGTGGCCGTGTGGCAGGGCAGAGGCAACATGGGACGGTGGGGATGTTGGGAACTGTGGATGGCAGCTCCTCCTTACGACCCTCTGTTGTTACCGTGAGGAAATGCAGGTGCCAGCCCGCCCAGTTCCCGTGTTCAGAGAACACGGAAATGCAAACTTATACATAAAATATTCCAATTTCTTAAGAGTTTGCAACTAGTTCTTTTAAAAAGTTTGGCAGGAGACAAGCAAACCCCCTCTGGGGCAGACAGACACTGCCTGAAAGCTGTCAGATTCTTGCATGTGACGGTACGAAGACGGGTCAGGACGTTTCCAACGTTCATTAGGGTCTCCTTCACACGCCCTTCCTGCCTTGGTCTTCAGGGTCTCAGAGGTGATCTGTCTGTGACCCACACCAGATGGCTGGACGGCAGTATCTAAGTAAGGGCAGAGTCTTTGAAAATCACTAAGTTCACCTTGACATCAGCGGGAGCAAAGAGAACATGGTAGTTTTAGATAGAGGCCATCACACATCTTCCTTGTGTGGAGTGGTGGAGAAAAACGTCCCTCGGTTTTCTTGCAATGACAAAGTGTGAGTCCTTAGACATTTTCTTAAATTGAAAATTTTTATTATTACTATTAGCTCTATAGCAAAAATATCTGCGTGTGACCCATTTCACCTTTGGGTCTGCAGGAAGAGCCCGCTAACAGGCCAGCTGCCCTTCAGGAGACAGGTGGCATTGTGACAGTCCTTTAGGCCTGGCCACCCGTCAGCTTCTGTAAAGAGAGACAATTTGTGTTCTAAATTCCTTTTTTTCTTACTTTTTGAAATATGCAGACCTCAAATGCCAGGGTTATAGATAGTAATAAGTCACCAGAATAAAGACACTGTACATGAGGTAAGCCAGGAGCAGAGCGAAGGCATTCTGATCGGATGAAAGCGTACGTTTGCTCACTTTCTGCAAAAGTAAAAGTGAGAGGAGACATTAAGTGTCCGTAGTATCTACTTTTAAATTTGTAGGATTCAGAAATTGGTGTGAAAACAGAAACAAAGAAAACCAGCTTTCAGTTATAGTAAGGTAATTCGTATAAATCTGACAAGGAATTCTTTTTATTACATGCTGAATCTAAAACAAACACAAACACATAAATCCAGAGAAAATAAACAATTTTAATTCTAAACCCCTTTAAAGGGTTCACTTTATAAGGAAGAAAAGCTTAGGAAGTATTTAGAGCTTTGCCACTTAATATTAATTCATCGACAAGACTAACTTAATGCTCCTGATAGACGTATGAGGCCTTCCGAGGCCACAGGTGCCTAAAAATACAGCTAAAATCCGGCAGTGCTCCCTAGCGGTGGCCCGGGCTGACCTGCGTGGGGAGGGCATGAGTCCGCTCCTGCAGGCTTTGCCTGTGCACAGATCGGACAGGAACTTCTGTGGGACTTTGTATTATTCCTGCCTAGACCTGGAGGGGTGTGGACTGTGTCTGAGAGGAGCAGAGGTGGCACCTGGGTTTTCCTGGCAGCTCCACCCCCTGAGCTGGACCATGAAGGTGCCGGGCTGAAATGGCCGTGATGGCAAATGTTAACTTAGGACCAGGGCCATGGGAAGCGCTCCACTAGAAGACTTCCTTTTCTCTGACTTTTTTAAACAAAGGGTGCTTACTACGTTAATTTTGATCGATGTGTCAAGAGCTGTGAGGGGTTTGGAGTCCCCATACTTGCAAGCTAACCAGTTGGGCCGCCACGGTTTCACAGATGCCTGCGGGCCTGGGACCCTGGGTCAAAGACAGCAGGCCTGGGACCCTGGGTCAGAGACAGACTTGACCGCTCCCAGCAAACAGGCAGCTGGGGTGTCATGTTCACATACTCCCTTCCCCCAGATCCTGCAGGACTGACGCGGTGCCCGCGGACGGTTCGTGTCACAGCTGAGGAGCCCTCAGTGTCACGGGAGGCTGCTGGCCCTCCGGCCCAGCCTTTGCTCCAGAGAAAGATGCTCTCTCATTTACTGGGGTCAGCCCAGAGGGAGGCACTGTGCCTGTCCGTCAAACCTGTTTCACAGACATTCTCAAAAA